GATGACTCTATAAATTAGAAGTATTAGTTAAACTTCCAAAAAATTTTGTGTAAGGATTAACGTGTAAGATGTGAAGTAATTTCTCTACAATTGATTGAGACAATCCATCTGATATTTTCAATTGATTTTGTATCTCAATCTCGGTGTCGTAAAAATAAAGCTGCAAATAAGAAGGCTTAGAATCTATAGGAAGAAGACTACTTAGGTAATGATATATCTGTCCATGGATCCTAAAAGTATATATTCCCTTGTCCCTTCTACATAGGTCTTTATCATATTTTATTCCAAATAAAGTAAATGTGAAACTACAATTGTAACTTCGGATATAAGTCCTAAATTCAACTAATTGATTAGAGAAGGATGTAAATAAATCATACAATGCTAGAGGCACATCATTTATCTTTAATCAAATGGTTCCATCAGAATGTGAATTTGTTTCTTTTGCCACATAATCCATTAGACAAACAACTAAACACAAATAACAATTTTAAGCATTGGAATTAGAATTAAATGATGAGTAAAAAGAAGAAAAAGAAAGTTAAGGAAGAAAAAGAAGAGATATCGCCAACACCAATTAAAGGAAAAAATAAATACAGCCTAAATTCATAGCAAAAAAAGGTAATGATGGTGCTAAATTAAAAAAAAATTTAGGAACACATGCAAAATTAATGATTAATATAAAAAATTAAAGCTTAAAATGCTGCACCCAGGTAAAATTGTCGACATACACATACATACACTTGCATATTCATACTTGTAGATCATTAGAATCCAAAAATTTATAGATACCATTTCATCAAACAACTAATTATATAATATAAAACAAAAAAGGAGGGAAAAAAAAAGCAAAGCACGTTAAAAGAAAAACGAAAAAGATCGAAAAATACGCACACGAGATCGAAATGATTTTCCAGTAAAACTACAGCACCGCAAGGCATGGGGAGAAATACTTAAAAAAAGAAGAAGAAAAATAAAGAAAAGCTTTCGGCTATGAGAAATGAAGGAGTAGTTGGTTGAATGCGAGAATGGAGAAACATGGGAATGGTCTGAATATTGGTTGGAAAAAAAATAAAATAAAATAAATTACTGAAGGGGCACAATCACTCTACACGTATCCTGGAGCGTTTCACTCTTTTATATATAGGATGTAAGAAAAAATATTTCGAGTAAAACCCGAAATCAAAGAAGGATAAAACTCATGCATGATAACCCCCTCCAAAAAAAATTAAATAAAACTTTTCTGAGCTATTTTTTAAAAAGGTTATATTGGTAATTCAATCCCACAATCACGTGGAAGTACTTTGCCTCAACTATTTAACTCACGAACCATTCTTTTTCAACCAAAAGGTAGGGTTTTTTTGGCTTCGCGATTTGACGCACCTAGGTAAATTCTCCAATTATACTCTCAGATTCATATGTTCTGAGACACGGTAATTTTAATCATGTGTTTATGATGAATCTTGGCTATAACTTTTGGTACTATGTGCGTGTGTGTGTGTGTGTGTGTGTTTTTTTTTTTTTTTGGTTGTGATGTTAGGTAAATTTTGGAGCAGAGGTATTGATGATGAAGCCGATTTTCTGTGGGAACTTCGAGTACGAGACTCGACAGTCGGATTTGGAGCGGTTGTTTTCCAAATATGGAAGAATTGAGCGCGTTGACATGAAATCTGGTAAATAAATTTGTTTTTTGCAGTTCGTGTTTATCAAGATAATCTGATATCTGTATCTTGATAGTTTAATGTTAGGTAGTGTTTCGATTGGTTAATTTTTTCCATGGAAAATGGAATTTACGTTGCATTTTCCAACTTTTAGTTGATTGATAGGGTTTAGTTTTCCATGGAATTTAGATTTTTGGTTTTATTGGGAAGTGCAATATTCTTGCTTTTGTGGGAAAATCAATTCCCACCATACTGTTCACGATGATGATGAACATCAGAAGATAGATGATTTTCTTGATATTTTTTATTTTTTATTTTTTTTGGCAATGGAAACAAATTTCATTCTCAATACTAGTAAAATCTATCTCTTTAATTAATAATTTTCATGTAAAATAAAGTCAAACGAACACCAAAAAATGCTTTTATTTCAATATTTTCCACGTGAAAAATTATACCAGTCAAACACAATAATTTACAATTCGCAAAAAAAAATTTCTAAGCAATTGAATTTCCTTAAATTCGTTTTCAATTCAATTCAATTCAATTCCATCTTTGCAATCAAACGGATCCTTATTTCTTGATATTTGTATGTAACGCTTTGGAATGATATTTGAAGTTTGACCAGTATGTGCTTGTATGTTTTGACTAAACGCTGGAATGAATAGAAAGAAAACTGTGAATATGGCAATACAAATGAAATTTACTTTTGAATCTTGTGTTTAA